GAGGGAGAACTTCCCATTCCAACTAGCGCAGTTTTTCAGCAGTGATTCTTGCAGTATGCGGTCGTGTGTTATCGTGGTGAAGAATTACGCCCTTCCGATTAATCAGCGCGAGTTCCTTTTCCCTTAAAGCTTGGGTTAACCTTTCCAATTGGGCACTATACACTGCACTTGTAATGGTTTGGTTAGATGGTAAAAGTTCATAATGAAGAATTCCTTTAAAATTCCACCAAACACACAACATCACTTTTTTCGCATGCAAGTCAGGTTTTGGCATGGGCTGCGGAGCCTCATTTTTGTCCAACCATTGAGGCCGCCTTTTCAAATTAACATACAGCACCCATTTTTCATCTCCGGTAACAGTTTGCTCTAAAAACGGCAAACGGTTTTGACGAGAGAGGAGCGAACTGCAAATTGTGACTCTTTGATTACGGTTGTTGGCGGTCAACTCATGAGAAACCCATTATCCAAACTTTTGGACTTTGCCAAGTGCACGCAATTGATTAGAAATTGTTTTTGTGAACAATTTAAAGTTGTCGCAAGCTCTTGTTGGGTAATTTGAGGATTTTGCACCAAAAGAGCTTGAAGAGCTTCTTGATCAAAATTGGACACACGGCCTCGACCACTCTTGTCATCTAACAAAAAATTTCCCTCGCGAAATTTCTCAAACCAACGCTGGCATTTTCTGGCGCTAACTGCATCTTGACCAAGAGCACTACAGATGTTTTTTGCAGCCTCACTTGCTTTTCTTCCTAAATGGAACTCATAAAGCATGCAGTGCCGAATATGCTCTTCATCTGCCATCTTCTTAGCCCTAGTTTTGCAACAAAAACCAAACCAAACACAAACTTTTTCAAGCAAAACTTGTTAATTCCACTTCACACGTTCTGTAGATACCACGTGTTTGAAGGTTATGTCAATACAAGTCAACGCCAAGCAAGATTTTAAACGAATGTTTTAAAACGACATTAATTATTACTAGACCCGATAGAATCTAATGAACAAAACAGACTCACCGATACAGAAAACAGACTATCAGTTTTTAAAAGCCATGCTCCCTTGGGTCAGCAGTTATCAATAGCCTCAGTGTGTGATCACTGGCACTTCCTTTCATCCTCAGCTGACTTTCAGCATCAAAATGTTAGGATGAAAATGCTGGAGGCAGTACCACACGCACAAAGAGCACAGGAATCCCAAATAAGCATCCCATTAGTAGAGAACCATGAGCTTTTCCGAGTGTTGTGTGCCTCAGTTTCAATCGCTGCAAAGTGGGGATAATGAGACCCAATGCTAACGTTTCTTCTGTGGACTATTCTGCAGAGTGTTCTGTAGTGCTGGTTCTTGCCAAATATGACATGTTTCTCAAGACTGTAGATTCCAAAGGTAATGATTCTGGGCTAGCCTCCCACTTCCCTGTCCCCATTCACTGACAAAACTAAGAGGAGTAACTTGCAGACTGCAACAGTTGGCTACCGTGGAGGAGAGCAGGAGCCAGACAGCCTGGGATCTTCCACAGCCTCCCACGGGCACGCGAGGCCTCCGCTGGGAGCCTGGGTTTTCTCGTTAACACAACAGGGCCATGAAGGTCCCTTGGGGCCTTGATGTTTTCAGGGTGGCCCGGTCACTCTTCCCCAGGGTCACTCTGAGTCCTGGCTCCCGGCGGTGCCTCGATGGCCCTCCCACCTGGACAAATGCTCCTTGGACGCCGAATCCAGGTCCAAGGTGAGCTTTCCTGGGGCTGGCACCTGGCAGCCTAAGCCCAGGGACTTCAGGGCGCTGACATCTGTTGGAGGCCAACCATGTCTCGGGCCCAGTCCCAGGCTCTGAGTATGTCTTCGTCCTTTACTCCTCTCCACAGATCTGTGAGGTGGGCATCAAGGCAAGACGGCCCTTTGGTCTTACGTGGCCCCAGGCCCCCTCACCCCACCCTCAGGTGGCCTGGCACATGCTGGCTCCGCTAGACTAGGCTGCTTCAAGGAGGCACAGCAAGGCGCTGATGGTATCAGGCCCTCGCTGGCTGAGTGCTCAAGGCTCCCAGGCTCATTACCTGCATGACAGGGGGTAAGGAGGGGGGGAGCGATGGGGGGGGCAGTTACTGGGCCATGGAACTTCGCCTCCCCAAGAGATGCCCTATAAGTAGGTGGAACCGTGAGAGACGGGCAGCCTGCAAGATGGGTCCAGCCCGGCGAGGCTCTCTGGAGAGCAGGTGAGTTCCGCGTGCTGAGTGTTTAACCCTTCCCAATGCTGGGCTGGGTGAGCCTGCTGGGGGTGCCACCTCCACTTGACAGAGGAAGACACTGAGGTGCAGCAGGCCGGGCTGCCATTGCTGGGTCAGGCTGGGAGGCCCGTCAACGAACCCTCTGTCCTGCTCGGAAGTGTGGGCTTGCTACCCGCAGATGCCCATAGGGGGCCCTCTCAGACACCAGTGCTGCAGGCACAGCTGCTCGCTGCCGCTTCTCTCTTCGATCCCTCCCTGTGGCCTCAGTGGCATCACCGGGATTCTGCCACCTGCAAAGGCAGGGAGCCGTCCCCTTGGAAGACCCCTCCCACTCCCCATCTCTGCCCTGCTTCTTTTTCATTTTTTAAAATAGCATTTCATGGTGTAGAGTCCACAGCTTGCTTATCCACCCTGTGCGGATGGGCCCTGGGGCTGCTTCCAGATCTCAGCTATTGAAAATTGTGCTGCTGTGCACACAGGGAAAATACGTTCTTTCTGGCTGCAGCTGTAGGGATTTTAGGATATATTCCCACAAGTGGGATCGCTGGGTCAAACGAAGTTCCATACTGTTTCCCACAGTGGCTGCACCAGTCTGCACCCCCAGCGGCAGGGAACTCGGGCTACCTTTGCCAAACAGCCTCACCAGCACTTGCTGTTTGTGCATAGCCCAGCTTCTCTACCTGTCTCCTTTCCTACCCAGTTGCTTTAAATCTCAGTCAGAGGCGGAGGCCTTGAGCTTCCCTTCAAGTCCACGCCCTGTCCATCTCAGGTGCCTGATGAGCTTTTCCCACTTTCCAGAGCGAGGCCCGTGGTCTCCCCTCTGCTCCTGGCCCCGACCTAAAACCCCACCAAGCCGGCCTTGATCTCTGGGAGGCTGAGGTATTCATTAACTCTTCCGATAACCCTCCTCTCCCACCTCTTCCCCTCTCTTATCTGGGTTCACGGCCACCTTGATATCGGCTGGCCCCTCATGGATCCTAAAGGTTTTACTTTCCAAAACCCACGACCCTCTGCCCCCACAGAGCTGATGGCCTTCTCTTCTGGCCGTGAGCTTTGATGACGAGGCTGATTTTGCTCTCTTCCCACGGCGATCTCACGTGAAAGGGGAGCTCAGAGAGAGGAGCATGTGGGCCCACAGCTGGGGAAGGACAGGGCCGTTCAGATCCAGGCCTGTCCGAGGCTAACAGAGACTCCCTCGCACCGCCTCCTGCCCAGCCACCCTGTGTCGCCGCAGAAGCAGCATCTGAGCGCTGTCACCTGGGCCCAGGGCTGGGCTGGGTCCTGCCCATGGGCAGGCGAGCCCACTGCAGGCAATGTGGGGGTGGGATCGGGCACTGGCCGCGGGCCAGCTGGGAACGGCTTCGAGGGGCTGTGGCCATGTGACTGCGCAGTGGGAACAGCCCTGACACTCCGAGGCGGGTGCCATAGCCTTGTAGAGGTGATTGCCATTAAGTTCCCGGTGAAGAAGGGGTGCCCAAGCTCCCAGGGGCAGGAGAGGAGTTCACTGCGCCTCCCCAAGGCCTCGACTCAACCTGCCACCGCCGGCCCCTGGCACCCTAGACAAGGTCCCACCCAAGAACACACGCCCAACTCACAGGGCTACTGAGCACACTCAGTGGGGACTCACGTGACACAAACCCAGCCTGAAGTAAGACACATGGCTAACCAGGGGGGAGGAGGCCTCCCGAGGGGCCTCATGCCCGGAGCCCCTCCAGGCACCTCCGCATGGGCCCTTCTGACCGCGAAGACACTGGCAAGGTCTGGAAACCCGCCGCTGTCACACGGAGGCAGGTCTTCCGGGGAGGACAGCCCGGGCCAGGACCTTGCTGCCCCCGTGTTCCTGCTGCTGGGCTGAGCCACTGACTCCCTGTGTGCCCGACCCCTACGCGCAGCCAGGTTCCTGCGGGGAGAGGGAGCAGGTGCCCGCGCCCGGCACAGAGCTGGGCCAGCACCCTGAAGCCTGCCTGGCCCGCCTCTGCTTGGCCAGCTGCGTGGCCACAACCAAGCCACCAGCCCTCGCCAGCCTCACTTCCTGGCCTCCTGCAAAGTGGAGACAAGGAGCGGCTCCCTCCGGTGAAGGGCCTGCGGGTGCTCTTCCTCCAAACAGCCCAGCAGCCGCGGGCCTGGCACATACAGGATCGGGTGCTAGCGCGCAGCAGGCTCAGGGCCCACACGTGCAAGCTGCCGTGGTTGCGAGAAAAAGGAGGGATGGAGTGTGCGGAGTGAGGGAGGATCTGGGCCAGGCCGGCGATGTGGCATTCCTCCGGCTCCGTGTATTCCTGCTGTGTGTCCCTGGGCAAGATCTTTCCCTCTCTGGGCAGCAGCCTCTCTGCAGTGAAATAACTAAGTCCCACGGCAGCCGCCTGGAGCTGTTCCACATCCGGTCACCCCTGAGGCAGAGCTGGCTGCTTCCTGGGTGACTGTGCGTACCAGGCATCTGTGTCCTGTGCCTCAGTTTCTTCTTTGATAAAATAGGAGCTGAGGTCCTTGCACCTCGGGGTCACTCAGATGTCAGGGTAGCCGTGGAGAGCGTGACCCACACTCCCTTAGCCCTGCTCCTTTCGTGCAAGCTCTGTGACCTTGAACAAGTGACTGAGCCTGCGGCACTTCGGTCTCCTCCTCTGAGGACTGAGAATTGGCATAGACCTGCACCTATGATTGCTGTTCGGGGCTGCAGGAGGAGCAGCTGCAGAGGCTGCGGCTGCTGGGCATGGTGTGAGTCAGGGGCCTGGGGCTCACTGTGGGGCCTGACCTGGGCGGCATGCCCCTTCTCTCTCTCAGGACAATGCCGTCCTCTGTCACGTGGGGCCTCCTCCTGCTGGCAGGCCTGTGCTGCCTGGCCCCAGCCACCCTGGATGAAGACGCTATCCAGTCCGCCAGCCACAAGTTCATGCTGAACCTGGCCGACACCGCCTTCAGCCTATATCACCAGTTGGTTGGTCCGTCTAACACCACCAACATCTTCTTCTCCCCGGTGAGCATCGCCACGGCCTTCGCCATGCTCTCTCTGGGCGCCGAGGGCACCACTCGCACCGAGCTCCTGGAAGGCTTACATTTGTACTGGAAGGAGGTGCCTGAGGCTGCCATCTACACAGGCTTACTGAACCTCCTCCACACCATCAACGAGCCAGACAGCGAGCCTTGGCTGATCACTGGCAACATCTTGTTTGCCAACCTAAGTGTGAAGTTCAAGGACGAATTTCTGAAGTACGTCTGGGAGCTGCGGCACTCAGATGTCTTCTGCCTCCGTTTCAGGGATGCCAAGGCCCGGTCAAAGGTCAACGATTTCATAGAGATGAAAATCCAGGAGCAAGATTTGGATCTGTTCGAAGAGTTTGACAAAGACACAACTCTCGTTCTGGTGGATTACATCGTCTTCGAAGGTATGTGTTACTACCAACCAGAGCTGGTTCCCATGGAAACATCCAAAACCATTCTCAAACATCAGTTCCTAAGCTTTCCTGGGCGGTGCAGGGTGCCACGTGACTGTGCATCTGGGCAGGGGAGCCATTCTCCCCACACAAACACAGAAAAACGCCCCCGACCAATACGGTCAGCGATCGAAGAGTCAGAGCATCATCCTCCCTGCAGGACGTGCCAGAGCCTCTGTGCCTGTTCCACGTGCATCGTAGACCCCCACCAGGGATGGAGGCACAATATGCAATGTGCCCCCCCACCCCTCCCACCACACAAACACACACAACACAGAGCCACACACACACACGTTAGCAGAGTTTAAAAACAAAGAAGGTTGCCTGGACTACTGAGGTGTCGTGGGAGAAGTGGCAGCTTTAGAGTCAGAAGCACAGGGTTCAAATCCTGCCTCCACACCCGTCAGCGTCTGGCTCTCAGCGAGTCTCGGCACCTCTTAAGGGTCCAGCTTCCTATCTGGACATGAACTTAATAATCCCGTGCTGTCAGGATTCTGTAAGGAGTACGCATGTCACAAAGAACACGGGGCTACAGGCTCACAATGTGGGTGCTCAGTTGAACTTGACTCCCAACCCGCCTTCCTCCCTCTGAGTGAAGAAAATTCCTGAAGCCTGTGGGTCTCAGAGCACATTCTGAGGCTGGTGAAATAGACCCTGGACATAAGCTGGAGCAGGGAGGTGAGAGTCAAGGTCAGGGGCTGCTTCCTTCTCTCTGTGGACTCCTTGACCAGGGGCATAAAATGCCCTGGAGAGGGTCAAGGCCAGAGTCAGCACATCCTGGGCCCAGCTGAGCGGGGGCACTCCAGGCAGGTCTTGTCCTCTCTCCAGCCTCAGTCTCCACCTTCCATCCAATGAGAAAGGGGCTCAGGGCTCCCCAAGACTCCCCTGCACTCCCACCAGGCAGGGTGGTGGTGGTCTCTTGGAACAGCAGAGGGGAGTGCCCAGGACTCAGTGTCTCATGTGTTGGTCGGAAAGGCTATTAGAGGAAGAACCAGGTGATTTCCCCGGATGAGGAGAACCCGAATCAAGGGCAGGGAGGCTCAGGCCAGGAGCTGCCAAGTGTGGCTGATGCCAATCATTTTCATTCAGCCCCTTCGGGGCAACCCTCCATTACTGGTAAATGGCATGCAATACAAGTCCACATGCTTACTCTGCCCAGCCAGGCTGGCACCCTGAGCCTCTGCAATATAGACAACGTGGACCCTCCTCCAGCAGCTTTCTCCCCACTGAAGTCCCGTCAGTGAGCGCAGGTGCCTGTGAGCTGCATTTGACAGATGGGGAAGCTGAGGCTGAGAGCCCTGTCACGCAGGAGGCTCAGGGCCTGCGTTCTGCCATGGGTACCTACCCCTCCCCTCTCCTGGCTGACCGGCGCCTTCCCTCTCTCCAGGCCTGTTGGAGGTGAAATTCGAGGCTGAGACCTATGTGTCAGAAGCCTTCCACGTGGACAAGAAGACCATGAAACGGATATTCATGTTCCGCCGCTCGGGCCAGTTTGAGCTGCTGCATGACGAGGCGCTCTCCTCCTGGGTGCTGCTGCAGCACTACCGGGGCCTAGGGCCCACCTTCCTCATCCTGCCCGACGCGGGGAAGATGCAGCATCTGGAGGCCGAGGTCAGCCAGGAGCACCTGACCAGGATCTTCCACAGCATGGCCGCACGGTGATTCCCAGCCCGGGGCTGACCGGGAGCCGCCACGTCGGGCCCGGCCAGAGGGCCAGGGGAGGGCCCTCCTCATGCCCGCCCTGCTTTCAGACAGAACCAGCATCAGTGCAGGGAGCACCAGCCGGGTTCCGAAGAGGGACTGTGCCGGCAGCTGAGGAGGCAGAGCCCTGCCCTTGGGGACTTCCGCTTGGACACTGCCCTTCCCCATGTCAGTGCCTGGCTCAGGGAGCAGCACCTCACTCGCCGGGAGAGAACCCTGGAGGGAGTGGTGGGCTTTCTGGAAAAGTCTGAAGATGGAGTGAAAGGATAGAAAATTCCTGGCTAGAATCATAGCCGACCTCAGGGCCACACCCTGTCCCCATGGCAAACGAGAGCTGAGCAATCAGCCCATGTGTCACTCATCACTCACTGGCAAATGTCACTCAGCACCTGGAACCATGGCCCACATCCCCTTGGGATTCCAGCCCCAAAGGCCCAGTAGGGGTGACCAAACCCTGCAGGGCAGTGTGCAAAGTGCTTCCCAAGGACAGTGCAGGTCTGCCTGGAGGGCTTCTCAGAGGAGGTGGCATTTGAGAGGCTTTCAGGATAAGAGCAGCCACATTATTCTGACATTCTCTGACAGGGTAGAGCAGCTAAAAATACAACAAACCAATACTGACCTCCATCCTCCTGTGGGTAGAGACGCAGGGGCCAAGAGGGAGAATGACCAGAAAAGAAAAGCTTTCCATGTTGTGAAATTCCTTTCTTTTCCAACCATCTTGACAGTTCTGCCAGTGTATATCTGCCCAAAGTGTACATTTCTGGAACCTACGATCTGAAAGCCACCCTGGGCGGAATGGGCATCACCAAGGTCTTCAATGATGGGGCTGAGCTCTCAGGGATCAGCGAGGGGCAGCCCCTGAAGCTGTCCAAGGTGAGCCTGTCCCTGGGGTCCTCGGGGCACGATGTGTGCGGGCTGCAGCTCGGGGAGGGGGCCCGGGGCCGCAAACGCCCCGCAGACCCAGGTCCCTGGGGAAGGCCACTGGGCTCACCAAGACCGGGACGTGCTCAGGCCCCGAGGGGGGCTGGCCTCTGCGTCCTGGCCTTTGGGACGTCCTCTGAGGCGGTGTCACTGACCCCGTCTCATCTCTGGTCAGGGTCTTCTCCTCTTTGGGCTCGATGGACCCATATTTACACAGCCAGGCTGGGGGTGAGGGATTTCCAAGGAACCCCCTCCCGCCCTTCCTCTGGCATTGGAGCTATTGGTGAGCCACAGCCACGGTAGTGAGTCACTGGGCTAAGATGCCACTTCCCAGGAGAACTGAGGGGCCGCAGCCACAGCTGCGCTCAGTACTGGCTGCACACTGAGTGCCTGGCTGTGGGCTGGACGCTATGGAGGGTCCCATCTGCTCCTGGTCCCCAAGGAGCTCACAATCAGACACTAGAAACAAGAGACACGCCCAGGGACAGCGTCCAAGTCCGGCTTCTGCCTCCTGGGGTGGGCTGTTTGCAGGGAGGAGGAGAACGTTGGTCCGGAGGCAGGAGGGTGGGCTGGTCGAATCAGCAAAGGCCTTGAGAAGTGGAGAGGCTGGTGTCCCCTGTGGGGGTTGGGGGAAGGAGCTGGTATCCCCTGAAGGGGCGGGGGCTGGAGGAAGACAAGCAGGTGGTAAGGGAGGACGGAGCATGGTGCAGGGAAGGGACCAGCTCCTGGGGAAGGAACAGTAAAGGAGAGGAGCCTGGGATAAGGCTGAGCAAGTAGATTCAACCAGTGAATGGTACCAGGTACCAGGTACAGAGATCTGAGTTTGCTGTGATGGTGCGTGCACACATACATGCGCACCGCTAACACAGGTACACATTATGGAGCACCTACACTGCCTGGGGTTCTCACATGAAGCACCCAATGGCCCCAGGTGGTCTGCATGTAGCCATGATTTTCCTACTTAAGGAAGCGAGGACTCGAGAAGAGATTCATCTCCTTGCATTGGCACAGTTAGTTAGTTAGTTAAGCTAATTGGTGGGGGAAAACAGAGTATAACCCCATTTCATGGTCTTCCCACCACACCATGATGAATCAAGTTTTGAGTCCAGTGGTTTTTTTTTTTAATAAAAATGCTCCAATGGCAAACACCCAGCTGGCAATTCTGCTGGTTTGTCATTGTTTTATTTTTCCATCAAGGAAATGCTATAAAGGTCCAGGTCCCCACTGGGCCTCTGCACAGATCCTGCCTTGAGCACCCAGCACAGCTCCCCCCATATCTGGCCTTGCTCCAAGGCCGGCACAGTCCGCCTCTGCCCCAGCATGCCTCTGCTGTGTTCCTTCCAGGCGCTGCATGAGGCTAGGCTGATCATCGATGAGATTGTGATGGATCGTTCTGGTGCCAGGCCTTCAGGAAAGCACAGGTCGAATCTTCTGACCGTCAAGTTCAACAGGCCCTTCTTAGTCATCCTGATGGACAAAAACTTCAACATTCCTCTCTTCCTAGGAAAGATGGTTAAACCCTGGTAAAAGTAACTGCCTCTCCAGGTTCAGCCCTTCGCTTGCCAAGCCCAGCCCCCTCCCTTGGTGACATTAAAGAATGGATAAGCTGGCCCGAGCTTAAGTGTGACATGCAAATCCCTGAGTCTCCGAGTCTTCTCTCACATCCCCAGGGTGTGTGTGGAATCCAGGTCAGAGCATCTTTCTATCCATTTAATATTGATTAAGTATTTACACTGTCCAGGCATTGTGGTTGGCAAGCATAAAGTTTTGACTGAAACCATAATTTACTTATGCATATGGGCACCCAGCAGTGACAGGAGATGGGCATACTGGAGATGGGTGGGAAGATGGGTCAGGAGATGGGTGGGGAGATGGGTTGGGAGATGGAGGGGAGATGAGGGGGATAGGTGAGGGGATAGATGGGTGGGGAGATGGGTGGGGAGATGGGGTAGATGAGGGAATAGATGGGTGGGGAGATGGGTCTGGAGATGGGTGGGGAGTTGGGGGGGTAGGTGAGGGGATAGATGGGTGGGGAGATGGGGGTGGTAGGTGAGGGGATAGATGGGTGGGGAGATGGGTAGGAAGATGGATGGGGAGATGGATAGGGAGATGGGTGGGGAGATGAGTGGGGAGATGGGGAGAGGATAGATGGGGAGGGGAGATGGGTGCGGAGATGGTTGGGGAGGTGGGTGAGGGCACCTAATTAACTACTTAAACTTTGGTAGAAGAGTGGCAGGAAAAGAGGGCAACAGTGAGGCAAAGCTAAGCCAGGCAGAGCACACAGCAGGGAGAGAGTTCAGGGTCTGCACTTCTTAGGGGACCCAATATTTCAGAATAATAAAGGCTCAAATCCACATTAAGAAATGGTGTTTGGACCTCTGGGTGGAGCAAATGTTAAAATATAAAAATACAAATGCTTCAGAAGAATACATTGATATTGTAGTGCCTAAAACTTCTCTAAACTAGAGAATAAAGCAAAACCCATAAAAGGGAGGATCATCATATGTGACTTTATAAAATGGCCAAAAAAATGCAATTTGATTCACCAAGGAGGTATAACAAATATAAACATACTAGAGGCCTGGTACACAAAATCTGTGCACTCGGGACAGAGAAGGGGTCCCTCGGCCGGGCCTGCTCCCTCCCGCAGTCCATGTCTGACTGACGACTTACGCCCACTCCCTGCAGTCGGGCATCCTCAGCGCTGCCATGGAGGTGGGAGATGCTCTGCCACCACTGCTGCACTTGGTAAATGTGAGCCCGGCTGCTGGCTGAGCAGCGCTCCCCCAGTGGGAGTCACTGACCACCAGGGGCAGCTTCTGCATTGACATCTGCCCCTGTGGTCAGTGTGCATCATAGCAGCCAGTGGTTCTTCCGTACAGCCAATTTGCATATTAGTATTTTATTACATAAGACTAGAGGCCCACTGAACAATATTCATGCAATAACAGGCCTTCTTTCCCCTGGCTTTGTTCCAGGCCACCTGGGAGCTGCCAAGTCCCCGCTCTTGGCCAGAACACTGCTCCTACAGCTCTCTCCTCCCCACTTCCTCCCCATAGTAGCAGGGGTCCCCACTCTGCACCCACATATGCAAATTTCTCTCCTCCCCACTTCCTCCCCATAGTAGCAGGGGTCCCCACTCTGCACCCACATATGCAAATTAACCTTCCATCTTTGTCAGGTTAATTTGCATATCACTCCTGATTGGCTGTGGGTGTGGCGTATGTACGGTCAATTTACATGTTTGTCTATTATTAGATAAGATATGCACCAAATATCAGAGCTCCTACATATATGAAGCAAACATTGACAGAAGTAATGGGAGAAATAGAAACACAATAAAGTAGGAGAAACAATGCCCCTTAATACTTAATAATTAATAGAAAAACCAGGCAGAAGATCAAAAAGAAAACAGAAGAGTTGAACACCTCTACAGAGCAACTGCACTAACAGACATATCAGAATACTGCTCCCACAAGAGCAGAATAAACATTTTTTCTGCAAATGGAAAATTCTCCAGAATGGAACATATATATGTTAGGTCAAAAAGCAAATTTTAATACATTTTAAAAGACTGGAATCATAGAGCCTAGCTGGCATGGCTCAATGTTTAAGACACTGTTTGACATATAAACCAGGAGATCATGGTTCGTTCCCAGTCAGGGCACATGCCCAGGTTGCAGCCTCAATCCCCAGTAGGGGATATGCAGGAGGCAGCTGATCAATGATGCTCTCTCATCATTGATGTTTGTATTTCTCTATCCCTATTCCTTCCTCTCTGAAATAAGTAAAAATGTATTTTTTAAAAAGACTGGAATCATACAAGTATCTTGTACAATCACATTAAAATGAAACTAGAAATCGGTAGCAAAAGAAAACATGAAACATCCTATTGGTCAAAGAAGAATTCACATGAAAATTTTAAAATATCTGGAGACAAGTAAAAATGAAAACACTACTTACCAAAACTTATGGGATGCAGTAAAAGCAATACTAAGAAAATGTATAGCTCTAAGCATTTACATTTTAAAAAAGAAATATCTCAAATCACCAACCTAGTTTCACACCATAAAGAACTAGGGGAAAATAGCTAAACTCAAAGTTAACAAAAGAAAGAACACAGTAAACACTAGAGCAAAGATTTTTTTTTTTAAAGATCTTTTTTAAAAAATCAACAAAATCAAGAGTTGATTCTTTGAAAAGATCATCAAAATTGGCAAACCTTTAGAGAGTCTAAGAAAAAAAAGAATACTCTAACTAAAATCAGAAATGAAGATATTACAAGTAATTTTGCACAAATAAAAAGGATTATAAGATAATACTATGAAAAAAAATGTATGCCAACAAATTGGATAACTAGATACAACAGATAAATTTCTCAAAACAGACAATCCACCAAGAATTGCTCATGAAGAAATAGAAATCGTATAACTAGTAATGGAAATTGAATCAATAAATAAAAAACTCCCAATAAAGAAAATCCAAGGACCTCATGCTTCACTGTTGAATTCTACCAAGTATTTAAAAAGTAATTCACACATATAATCATCAAACTTTTCCCCCCAAAAAATAAAGAGGAAATAATCCTTCTAACTTATTTTATAAAATCAGCATTACTCTGATACCAAACCAAAGACACTACAAGAAAAAACTATAAACCAACATTTCTGATGCAAAAACCCTCAACAAAATTTGAGAAAATATAATTCAACAACACATTATGAGGATTATACACCACCATCAATGGGATTTGTAATTGGACAAAGTAAGGGTGGATTATTTAACATATGAAAATCAATCACTACAATATATCACATTAACAGAATGAAGGAGAAAACACATGATTATCTCCTTTGATATAGAAATATTTGACAAAATTTAATATCCTTTCATGATAAAAACACAGAAAAAACAAGGAATAGAAGACCATATATAAAAAACCACTACTAATATCATACTCATTGATGAAAGAGTTTTTCTTTTAGTATCAAAAAAACAAGACAAGGATGCCTGCTTTGGCTTCTTCTATTTAGCATAGTAATAGACCTTTCAGCCAGTGCAATTAGGCAAGAAATAACTATTAAAAGCATCCAAATTATAAAGAAAGAAGTAAAATAATATTTGTTCACAGACAAATTTCAGAACATTATGCATTCAAGAGCACAATCAATATATATAAAACTCTAAAGATTATACACATACACTGTTAGAACTAATAAACATAGTCAGCAAAGATTCAAGAGACAAAATCAATAGGCAAAATCAGTTGCATTTCATACACTAACAATGAACAATCCATAAAGGAACTTTAAAAATAAATTCTATATACAATAGCATCAAAAAGAATAAAATATGTAGGAATAAACTTTCACCAAGGAGGTGATAAATTTGTACACAGAAAACCACAAAACATTGCTAAAGAAATTAAATAATATATTAACAAGTGGAAAGACATTCCATGTTCAGAGACTTGAAAACAACACTGTTAGGATGTCACTAATACCCACACAATCTGTAGGTTTAATGCAATCTCTATCCAAATCCCACAAGCATCTAGTATAGAAATAGGAAAAATCCATCCTAAGTTCACATGGAATCTCATGGGACCTGAACAGTCAAAACAATCTTGAAAAGGAACAAAGTGAGAGATCACATATTTCCTGATTTCAAAGCTACAGTGATCAAAACACTGTGGTCCTAGTTTAGCAGCAAACATACAAACCACAGGATTAGAATAGAGAGAGCAGATATAACCCTAAACATATGTGGTGAAGTGATTTTAGACAGAGGTGCTAAGACTAATGGGTATAAAACAGTCTTCTCAACAAGTAGGTACTGCAAAAACTATATCCACAAGAGAATAAACATATACAAAAAAAAAAAAGCTCAAAAACAAAAAAAAAACACACACCTAAACTGTCAGTGCTAAAACTAGAAAGCTCTTAGAAGAAAGCATAGGGGAAAGTTTCATAACATTGATTTAGCAGTGATTTCTTGCATCTTTTGCCAGAAGCACACACACAGTTAAAACTCACAGACTATATCAAATTTCAGAACATTATGCATTCAAGAGCACAATCAACAAAGTGAAAAGGCAATGGGAGAAAATATTTGCAAAGTATATATCTAATAAGAAATTAACACACGAAATACGTAAAAGAGTCTTATAACTCACCAATTATATATATATATATATATATATATATATATATATATATATAATATTTCTTTAATGAGCCAAGGACTTGAATTAACTTTTTTGAAAAAAATTATATATATGACCAATAAGCAAGATGCAAAATGTCAATAGACAAAATGTAAATCAAAACCACAATAAAATATCAATTCACACCTGATTATTTTTTTAAAGAACGTACAAGTGTTGTAGAATTGTGCACCTGAAACCTATATAATGTTGTTTAATAGAGTCACCAAATAAATTCAATAAGAAGAAAAAAAACTTAATGAGAAAGAATGAATTCTGAAGGCAGAAAAGGAAAAAAGAAAACTCCATCAAATTATCATCA